CGCAATTATTCAAATATACACTTTTTTTCGTTCATATATATATATATATATATATATATATATATATATATATGTATATATATATATATATATGTATATATATATATATATATATATATATATATATATATACATATGTATATATATATATATATATATTTTTTTTTTTTGAACAATAAAATATATTAAAAATTGAAATCTTCAGACACACTGGGTTTTAGATTAATATTCTTTCATTTTTTATTATCAATTCATGTGAATGCACATCAATATAAAATGTATGTAAATATATATGTCGCCTCGGTGAATAATTACATATGCTTGCATATTTACGAATACACAAAATTATATATATATATATATATATATATATATATATATATATATATATATATATATATATATATATATATATACCTGACGCCTGCAAACTCATCCGCCTATATATATATATGTATGTATACATACACACTTTATCTTCTTTTAACTCGGGATCGTGCCAAATGCTGAAGCGATAAAATGTCAAATATAGTTGAATTGAGTCCCCTTCAAGGACGGATTGACATTTTCAGTTAAATTCTTTTTGCTTTGCTTTTAATATTCTGAAAGAAAAAAAATTTGCAAAGCCGTCAAATGAAATAAAAAAAAGTAAAATGAAAATTACAATTGTAAGTTAGGGTTCTGTGTATGGAATAACAAAACTGTCAAAAAATGATTTGTTTATAAAAATGAATAAAGAAATAAATTACTGTGTTTTTCTCTTTGCGTCCTTCTTTATTTTTCTTCCAGGAACACCTGACATCTTTGGTGGGGAAGGAGTTCAGTAGCTGCTGCAAGTTATGATAGCGTGTTGTTGAATTATTGAATTTATTTTTTCAGAGAATTAAAACCTCTGCAAGAAAGCTTCTGAACGTTTTGTACCGTTAAGGAAATGGACAACAAAACTGTATTAAAACATTATCTTATTTTCAAAATCTCTTCTTGTTTCTTCTTCTTCTCCTTCTTTTTCTCCTTCTTCTTGTTTTTTCTTCTTGTTTCTTCTTCCTCTTGTTTCTTCTTCTTCTTCTTCTTCTTGCTTCTTCTTCTTCTTCTTGTTTCTTCTTCTTCTTCTTCTTCTTCTTCTTCTTGTTTCTTCTTCTTCTTCTTCTTCTTCTTCTCCTTCTTGTTTCTTCTTCTTCTTCTTCTTCTTCTTCTTCTTCTTCTTCTCCTTCTTGTTTCTTCTTCTTCTTCTTCTTCTTCTTCTTCTCCTTCTTGTTTCTTCTTCTTCTTCTTCTTCTTCTTCTCCTTCTTGTTTCTTCTTCTTCTTCTTCTTCTTCTTCTTCTTCTTCTTCTTCTTCTTCTTCTTCTTCTTCTTCTTCTCCTTCTTGTTTCTTCTTCTTCTTCTTCTCCTTCTTGTTTCTTCTTCTTCTTCTTCTTCTTCTTCTCCTTCTTGTTTCTTCTTCTTCTTCTTCTTCTTCTTCTTCTTCTTCTTGTTTCTTCTTCTTCTTCTTCTTCTTCTCCTTCTTGTTTCTTCTTGTGTCTTCTTTTTGTTTCTTCTTTTTTCTTCTTGTTTCTTCTTCTTCTTCTTGTTTCTTCTTCTTCTTCTCCTCATCCTCCTCCTCCTCCTCTGTGCAGTAGCGTGCAGAAGTGGGTGCAGAGGGTATGATTACCCCGGGTATCCATATCGGAAAGGCATCCAATCAAAGACTGAAATAAAAATTTAGTTTTTTTTTTTCAATTTGAAATTGTCTCTGTTAACTTTTGTTGTGCAAGCGCCCTACAGTCACGCAAGCTGATGTGAATGTAGATCAATGTTTTGATAAACTAGAACGGAGTAGCCCCCTACTTGAGTCATGGGGGAATAGAATCAAGGAGTTTGGTTCCAGGCATCATCAACCTCTGCTCGTCGCTGTCTACGTGCAGTGTTGGTTTACAACTTTTTACCTTTTGTTGCTCTAATTCAAAATATACAAGTTGAATATACCGTTGTTTTCATTTTTTGCTGGGACATTTCTCACGCACGCAATATTTCTCAAAAATAGATAAAAAATATACTTAACGATATTTTTCCTCCACTTTTCTTTTGTGCATAAATACAAAATAAGTTGCAAAATAAATTATCCACATTTACCTTGATACAGTTTCTCAGGGAATGAAACGTGTTGGCAAAGATAAGTCTTCCTTTTGTCTGACGGTTATACATGGCAGGACAAAATCTCTAACCCTGATCTTTTCATCAAATATGGCGTCGGTGTTATTGAATCCTTTCTGATGCAATCACAATACATATGGGCTGGTCATGTCATCAGAATGAGTGATGATCGGATGCCGAAAATCCTCATGTATAGCCAACTTTTTCATGGGAAGCGTAATGTAGGTCGTCCTTGATTACGCTTCAAGGACAAACTTAAATACAATTTAAATGATGCAAATATCCCAATAAAGGAGCCCGAACTCGCTGTTGAAAACCGAGCAAACTGGAGAAATACCTGCTACCGAGGTATAACTAACTTTGAAAAGAATCGTCTCTACCATCTGAGAGAATTAAGAACCAACACTAATTCTCGGGCTAATACATCAGCCCATATGATGGTCAACCCATCAGCATGTCCCTCTTGTGAACTTGTTTGCAAATCCGGTGCAGGATTGTTGTCTCATACGAGACAGAAACATAAAAACTGAACTGAGAGACACTCATACGTCGAAAATGACGGGAAAGTTTATCATATATATACATGTATATAATAGCTGGGCACTCGTATTCGAGGATACCCGTCTACTAGGTCGGCAAGCTAATCCCTATTGCAAACGCCCGCTCAGGAACATTTGTGTTTTGCTCAACACTCACAGAGCCCACGTGCAACTATGTTGAGCAAACCTTAGTTAGAGTTTCTGGGAGAAAGCGTGTTATCTAACGTGATCAAAAATTTGAATGAAATTGGGTAGACGGAACTCTTGAGGGTCGTCAATAGCTGTGCTAGCACAAAGCCAGAAGTCATCGTGGCCGAGGGCTTGGGCGTACTGGCCTTGTTGAAATATATATATATATATATATATATATATATATATATATATATATATATATATATTGCCGTTTACAGAAAAGCTACAAACAAAAATGATCTGATCAGTTTCTACTCAAACCACTCTTCTAAAGTTAAATCTCGAATTAGTATAGGTTTCTATTTGAGAACATTAAGAATATGCAGTCCCCAATATTTACCTAAAGAAGAAACATACATAGAAAACACATTCAAAAACCTACAATACCCACATCATTTCATTCACAACGCAAGAAGGCATACAAGATACACACCCGAAACAAAAATAATTACATAATACGCAGTAATAAATTACATGAAAACAGATGCATAATACTACCAACAACGTCCACTATCTAGAACAACCTATCCCATCTAAATAATCTTAAAATAGTCACAAACACTTCCTAAAAAAAATATATATATATATATATATATATATATATATATATATATATAATTATTTATTTAAAATATTATTCCAACGATACATAAGAGTTCTCATGTTTCAAAACAAGAGCCGAAAACTTCAATATAATTATTTGCATTAAATTGAATTAAATTACCAAGCTCTGTTCCATCTTCAAGCGAAATTTTTTGGGGGAATCCCAGAAAGATTCCAAAATAAAAAATAAATTTTTTAAATAAATAATTATATTTATGCTCTACTTTGTATCGAGCACTATTTTTTTAAAATAATAACAAAAATACTAAAAAGAACTTTTGGATTATTTACCTAACGAGTTCTTTCCTTTTTCTATATATTTTACACACACACACACACACACACACACACACACACACACACACACACACACACATATATATATATATATATATATATATATATATATATATATAAATTGATCAAAAACTTGTCCGTACAGGTGTTATAAAAAAAAACTACAACACATCAATTCTGCATCCAATCTCCTTAGAAGTAATTCCCTTCTAAAAGCGACACACTTTATCCATTATTGTTTCTATTGATGGAAACTATATATGTATTATATATTTCAAATAAAATGAAGTTATGAATTTAATCGTTTTCTTTTAATCGCTTAACATTTTTATAGTCATGTACATTTGCCTTGATAAAATCCATCAGAACACGAAACGCATCGGCTAAGATAAGCCTTCCTTTTATCGTTATTCATATATATGCAACGTGATTGAAAAGTAAATCCCCATTTTAAAATACTTATAATTTATTTATTAACTATAATTTTTACAAGAAATACATATGAGAGGAAAGCTTTTAGGATGAAGTTTTATTTCAAATTCCATATGATCACTTTATTTTGCTACCAGCTTCTTAAGCCACCCCGGAATCAACTGACTTCACCAGGACCTCGTGTGGTATGGAAGACATAATTTCTTGTATTCACCCTTCAGTTTATCACTACGTTTCGGTCGTTTTGTCGTCTGGTCTTCATCAATAGCTTGTTGTTCCGAGGCAACCTTCAGGTAATTTCGAACTGGACTCTTTATTTAATCTACGGGAGTAGATTGTTCTCGTTTCGATGTCTAAGGATAACCCGGGACAAACAGGGCAGGCAATGATTGAACAGTGCAACTAGACGATGGCACAGCAGCTGAAACATAGTGATAATAACAATAAACATGAGGACACTAGTCTGAGTGTAAATAGTATAAATAACGACGATTGTCAAAAAGTAATATGCCCAAACACTTGCAAACAGCACATTCCATATCTATGTCATCTACACGTTATAAATATTTATGCATCTGTTTGTTGACCTTTACAGCCGGGGGATATCAGTTTTGTGAATCTTATATAAATGTCTATGTTACTAGCGGACAGATATTTTTTTATAGAAAGCAAACCACGGTGTTTAATTGTATAGGACTGACCGAATTTTCTAGTTTGTTCACTTCGCCTGCTTAAGTAAGCAGAAGTTTTTATTTTAAACGGTAAGAATGCAAGTAGGAAAGTGAATAAGGTGGGCCATATGTGGTTCATTGAATCATCCTCGGACAAAAAAAGAATGACACAAGAGACTGAAGGAGTTGAGGGTTAGAAAAAAGAAGATGATCGGGGTAACGTGTGAAGGATTGAAGAAGAAGAGGAAAAGGAAGGGAAGAAGAGGAACAAAGAGTGAATGAAAAAGAGATAAAAGGAGACATCAGAAAGAAAAGAATCGATCGAATAAAGTGAAAGACAAGGACATAGACGAAGGCATAAAAAGAAGAGAAACGAAAAACAGACTGAAGACAAAGAGAAGGGCGTGAACAGAGGCATAACAGTGAAGAAGAGAAACGAAAAAGAGGATGAATGAAAAGAAATCGGAGATAAAAGAAGGCATAAGAATGAAAATGAATGAAAAAGAGATTGAATGAAACGGGAAGGAGATAAATGAAGGCGTAAGAACGAAAAAAAAAATTAAAAAAGGGATTGAACGAAAGTAAAGAGAAGGAAATAAACGAAAGCATAAGAAAGAAGGAGAGAAACGAATAAGGGAATGAATAAAAAGAAAGAGAAGGAGATAAATGAAAGGATACGAATGAAGAGAAGCAAAAAAGAAATTGAATGAAGATAAAAAGAAAGAAAATAAGCGAAAGCATAAGAAAGAAGAAGAGAAACAAATAAGAGAATGAAAGAATAGAAAGCGATGACAATAAACGGGACATAAGAAAAAAATAAGAGAAACAAAAAAGATTTTTTTTTTTTTTGCCATGGGGAGAAAATATAAGTATTAATGCTAGAAGACATAGAAATTTATTAAATAAAAGGAACGAAATAATATCAAGTTGCAGGCATGAACCTAATTACATATTGCGGCGCTTTGGACATGGCTAAAAAAAAATGTGAGTCGGTAGATTCATGACACGACACGATTTAATTGGCCGAATATATACAATGAGAAATTGTTACGATTATTCCACAAGAAATATGAAGAGTTGGAACAAGATGAACAGGAACTACACTGATCTTTGGCAGATTCGCCGATTATTTCGTTAGAATTCATTCATGCATTCATTTTTTACGATTTATCAACCCTTTGCATGTTATTTAAAGCCAGGAAATACTTTTAGATAAAAATTATTTTTTGAGATAATAATACTTTAAGGATACAAGTTTTACTTGTCTTAACTTATAATAGAATGAAGAAGAGGTGGGTTAATACATTTCCCAAGGGTATTTGCGAATAAGTGGATATAACGAACCCAACGGGAATTGGAACTCGTCTCTCCAATTAACAATTTCAAAACATTATCTGTTACACCACCTGCACATCCAAGATTACAGCACTTGGTATTCGCAAGCAGTCACCCATCTAGATAGTGATCAGGCTGAACGTTGCTTAATACAGCCGATCGCACGGTGTTTCAACGTGATATAGCCGTAAACCTGTTACATTAATAATCCTGTAATTTTTATGGGTACTATGGTTATATCAAAGAAGAGAGTTAGAGCCGACATTATGGAGCAGTGAAATTTTGCATAAATCTGAACTCTTCATGGATTGTTCCTTATGCATATCTATGGCTCTATGCCAAATTTGAAGCTGATAGGTCGAGGTTTACAGAATTTGCAACTGAAATTTTAAAGTTTTCATACAATGCAATGTACAAAGTCTTCTTACAGTAGACAAACTTCTCTCTAAAGGCGAGATGTTAAAGAACTGGCGATATAAATATGATGAAGAAAAGTTTGCAGATGTCTCAAAGATTATCAAAATGACTGCCCAGTATTGTTCAGGAATATGGGAAAAGGCAAATAGAGATACACAGGCTGTTCCACTTCTTAGCAAGAAAAGTATTGATGAGAAAATTGTACAGTAGAGTTATTGAAGTTAATAAGAACACGAATGTGGGCAAAAAAGATGTATTTCGGGAAGAAATGAAGGAGTTGTTCGGTATCTGTAGCTGTTATTGTCCCCCTGTCTCCTGCCAGGATGTAAAGTGCAAAGTTAAGGACCATGGCAAATATCACCTGGCCTGTAATTGTGATATAAAACTTCCCAAACGTGAGCTGCACTTCCTCCTTGATCAGCGAAATGATAGTAAGATGAAAATTGCAGGGATTGACATAAACGTGACGATGATATGAGACAGTGACGCTAGACAAAACCAGCAAACAGCTTGATTAAAGACAGCTGTTAGCTGGATATATTCCTTATTTTGAGAATAATTCGGATGATTCAAGAGATATCCCTCCTGTCAATACGGTTGCTGATTTTGTCCCCCATCCAAAACCTCTGACAGACGCCAGCTACCAGAACAGGATATTAATTCCCACACTGGGTGCCGTTTGTGACCGATACTTGATCAGTGATTATGCTTGAGTTGCCATTGGTTTTGCTGTCTTAAGTGACTATGGCATTATCACAAAAAATGACATGAGTCAAGTTATTGAGCCACATAAGCTACGAGATGCGAGACAAAAATACCGATTGAAGAGGTAAGAAATTCTAGTTTGGAAAATATCTGGTCACTGTATTTTGATGGTAAGAAGACCGCCACTTTCATAAAGAATGAAAAGACAAATAAACTGATTTCGAAGATGATAGTGCAAGATCATTATGTCATCAATGTTTGGCCTGGCAATAAATATCTCACACGTGTGACTCCCAAGACTGGACACGGAAAGCAGATTGCCAAAACTATTCACGAGTTTCTGGTGAAGAAAAATCTAACCCAGCAGCTCATTGTATGTGTTGGTAGTGACGGAACCAGTGTAAATTTAGGATCAGAAAATGGAGCCATTCACCATCTTTAAATGTTACTTGATCACCCGCTTCATTATTTTATCTCTCAGCTCCACGGAACTGAGCCTCCGCCTTTCCGCGCTGTTTTCTATCATATGATGGTAAACCATGTTGTCCTGAGCATTGGCGTGGTCCTACTGGAAAACAGATCAAGTAGCCTTTGTGTGAGATGCTAGTTGTTGCCTTCCAGCCAGTCAGTTTCTCTGATTTCCCTGTCCTGAATGAAGAAGTGGAGAAAGATCTGTCCTGAAATCAGAAATACCTGTATAGGATTTGTAAAGGAGTTATTACAGATGTTGTTGATGATGACTTGGGTGCTATTGAGACAGGTCCTCACTGCGTGTCACAGTGGACAGCTTTATAACGTATTATGACCGATACTGATTAGTGATTATTCTGAAGTTGCCATTGGTTTTGCTGTATGCAGCAACATCAAGACCCACCCACGAGCTGAAAAGAATCGTCATTAATATTATACAGTTCAGTACCCTAATGTGGTTCTACATCAAGATGCACCCTTACGTAACACACGACCCAAGATAAGTATTCCAATCCCTGCTATATGTGAAACACCTGAATAATAAAGAGGAAACGACAGTGAAGATAACTGTCCATAGAAATGTATACTTCGCCCACACAGATCAACTTCTTGGTATGTGTGCAGATGTGGCTGTTAAAGTAAAAGCCGTCTCAATGATAAGAAAACTTAAAGAAGAGAATCTACAAATGGAAGAATGCACTGTCAGATCTGATGAGGAGGAAGAAGATTCTGTTGACGAGGATTTGTTAAACTACACTGATGAGGAGGAGGACAGTGGAGGTGGAGATGGCAATGAGGATATGACTCCTGTGTTCTACTTGAGAAAATTGGTGACTCCCGAACTAAAATGGCAAGCACAAAACTATCATTCCATGATTAAAGATGAATGAACTCAAAACTGAGCCTTCTTACATTGCTTCTCTATCAGATCAGGTTAATGAGATTCTTCAGACACCATTAGTAGTGGCCAAGTGGCCAAACAATTCTCTTCGAAAGAGGGATAAAACTGATGACTGAAGCTTGCACTGAAGTGACGAGATTAAAGCGAGTGATGGATAGATTCGGCAAAGTTTATTGTTCAGGTTCCGCTCAAAAACAGATTTCATTATTAACTTGCAATATTTTAATATGATGTACCATTTAAATAATATTGGAATTAAATTGATGTCAATGATGTACAATTTATTTTTATTTTGGCAAACAATAAATGGCATCTATTTTTTGGAGTACAGCAAAAGTTGACAAAAGGTCGACCGCGATACTGCAGAGAAAGTGGCCATTTTTCATCAGGTGTTACAGTCATACAGACGATGTTTAAAAAGTGCAGTGTGCTACAAAAAAAATGTGATTTTTCATTTCTCCCTATGCTAACATATAGTGCTATAATCTTACTAAGAAATTTTCCCAAATACAAACCTTTTCCCATTCTGCTATATATGGATACTGCCTAAGGGGACCAGGGACCATTGCCTGTATGTGTGAGAAGAAATGAAGGTGAGACCCCAAAATGAAACGGTCAGCATGTAAAATAAATAGAAAATATAAACTACTGCGCAAATATTTCATGGATAAGCGCTTTTAAAGATCAATGAAATTATTTTCATTCGCCTGGATTGATTTCAGCTATCCTAGGCTATTATTGCCCTCGGGAAGTTTTTAACGCGTAAAATGATCCTTTGTTCGTCTTACTTATTGTTACGCATGTTATCTCCTGTAGTTACGCAAGCAAAAAAAATATGTGCATTTGCCTGCAAACATTATGCACCTGTTTATATGTGTGGATACGCACGCACACGCACACGCACACACATAGTATCTTTCTTGTTTGTTGAAAAATATAATTCAAATTCAACTGGTCGTGGCACTCGTGTGACTTTATAGTGAGTCCCGATAAAAATATTAAAAAAATATATAAACAAAAATAAAAAGAATTCAAATATAAGGCATTTATGCTTTCCTTTAACCCCCCCTCTCTTTCTTTCTATAATTTCTCTCAATTAATGAGAAGGCAATCCTCAACTTAAAAAAAAGGAGGAATATTGAACCCGGTGAAAAAATACTGGAATTTTGCAGGAGCAGAGCTTACTTATTTGTGATTGAAAAATACCAAAAATCAGGGAGGCTCCACGCATAACTTCCGTTATACAAAAAGGAAAAAGAAAAGAACTTCGGAAAATGAAATAATTTGGGCCAATCAAAAACATTGACACAGAGATTTTTTGATGATTAGCCGAAACCAAAGTTCCCGCCACAAACTCTGGGCCTATTCAAAAGGATATAAAGCGACACCTTTGGTTAGAGAGGCAGAAAGAAACAAAAGAACGCTACCGCATAGAAACCAGCCATGCGTGACCCGTGAAGAAGTATTTAAGAAATCATCTGTTAATAACATTTCCGTCCTGCTAAGGGCCGATAAAAACACAGCAGATTAACATCAACCTAATTTCTGAGATTACTACTACCACTACCATAGTCTTACGTCAAAACAATGAAAAGAAACTTTCTGTAGACAGCTGCCAATATCCGCCTTTTTAACGGACATTTTTCTGCGTTGAATACCAAAAGACTCACTCCTCACTCTAAAGAAAATAAATAAAAATATATAATTTATTTTAAACCCTTGAGTCAGTTGGTTTTATATCCTATGTTCCCGATAAAATAATTATCCTACCACAGCTTAATAAAGGAAATGTTAATTTCAGCAGGGTTTGATTTTTACTTGCGAAACCACAACTAAGGTGTGTTTTAAACTGGTTAGCCTCGAAAGACTTCACAGTAAAATATGGTTCAATTGCGTATCTCTCGTTGGGACTTTTTGATGTCTACTAAAACACGTATATCTACTAAATATAACATTTAAAAATAATGTCGGATTATAA